AATCTCTTAAATTAGATCTGGGTTTGCCTAGGCTGGCCCCATTAAGTAAGAATTGTCTTGATTATATTGTGAAAGAGATGTTTTAAGGTTGACTTCAAAAATAGGTTTGCAAAAAGAAAAATCTGAAATTCAAAAAAGTTTCCTAAACTTCCTTTTGATTTGTATAGTGTTGTACTGTGATAATCTTACCAAATGGGACTGGAGAATAGTGGAGGAATTCTCTCACAGTGTCTCACACTGTCTTCTCATTTATGCACCTGAGGAATATGGCTAACATTTTGTTGTTGTTGTTGGTTTGGTTTTGTTTTAAGTAAAGCTTTCTTAATTAATTTAAAATCTGTGGAAAACTCTGCGCTCTTATGCATCACTATCTCATAGATGCCTCTCTATCATTAAATTCACAATTTTATTTTCTTCCCAACGTTGCTCACTGCATGGCCTTCCACTTGTTGGATAACACACTGTTACTTTGTCACATCTTTAAATTACTGAGGATACCTTTAATTCTATTTCTTTTAGGTTTTTGATTCTAGAAGGGAGAAGCAGAGGCAGGACTAGAATCTGGGCCTCCTGACTCCAAGATCCTAAATCTGATTACACTGAAGGTGTATGACAGAGCATCATGATCATTTTCCTTTAACTGTATATAGGCTGTGTTTCTCTGAAATGGTGAGAGGCAACTGATTCCTAACATAAATTTATCTTTTCAACTGGCTTTCAGCTTTCTTTTTGCTAGGGCCAACATTCACTTTTAAAATGAGATTCTCCAAATCCCAGGCTACTTACTATGTTCAGTAGTGTTTTCCTTTTGCTAGTATAGAAATTCCTCTAAGAGAAAGGGGATCTTAAAAAGGAGAGAGAGAGGAATTTACCTCTATATATGTTACCTCTCATATTGAATATAGGGTCCATATCTGTTATAAACTGACTTAATAAGCAGGGGGATAGGATGGCACCTATTACATTTTTTACCTTATAAATAAAAAACAGGCTTCCTTTACACATTTAGTTTATTTTTCCCAGCTTGCTGAAAATGAAAGCCTGGTTCAATCTTTCCTTGTGTCATGTCTTCCCTCACATTAGTCATTCCTCTGATTTGTTTTAAAAGGAAACTGCAACCTGTAGAAAGTAGCCTGAAGCAGCAGGGGGAGAAAACTTTTAACAGCTGTCTGGTGCCTTGCCAAGGGGCAAAGTTCTCTCATTGGATAAAAACCATTTTTCTCCTCTTATCCATTGCTTCCCACTGCACCACCAAAGGCCCTGTACAAACATGCAGATCTGCCAAGCATAACACGATCACACCTAGCCAGCTGTGGCAGCCGGCCATGGGAGATAGGCGCTGAACCAGGATTGGGTTCACCCTTTCATCTCAGGATTTGCCTAGGCAGGTCTCCTTTCTCTTCTGCCCTTATGCTGGTATTGTTTCCAGCAAGATACTGACATTTTAAAGTTTTGGTAATCGCTTTCTTTCTTTTTTTCTTCTTAAATTTTAAGCTGTCTTAGAGTTTTTCAAAACAGTAGGTGGAGACGCAGTTAAGTTCCTGATTTGTTTCCTATAGTCATTGGAGCTAATATGTGGAAGTCAGGCAAATGTTAGACGCTGGTGGCAGAAATAAATGGCCCTCTACAGTGTAGTCAGAGAGACTGTATTAACAGGTAGAAATTAAAAGTGCATACCTACAGAGAAAAGGTCAGTAGATTTTTAACATCTGGGGTATATAGCTGCAATAGGAAATTTTCTAGGATTTTTTGAAGAAAAATAATTGAATATGTTCATTTGCATATTTGTAGCATTTTCCCACACTTTATCTTTCTCCATTATAGAATTTTTCTTTCCTCCTTTACTCTTACCTACGTACATTGCTTGGTGTCTCAAGTTATTTTTAGATCTGTGTGCTACTCTGCTAGCTATATGATATCAAAGGAAAAATTCCACTTGGTTCTAATGTACAGAAATAACAATACTTGGTTCAAATTGTGCTGTTTTAAACCTCAGGGACTAACTACCAAATCACTTGCATTTGTGAAATCATAGTGGAGCCACAGACCTGAGAGATCACACACAGCCACCCAGAGGATAAAGATATTATCCAAACACTGGCAGCATGCCATGAGGAAAAGCTGCCACAAGAAAAAATACATTTTCAAAGATCATTTTATAATAGTCAATAGAAACCAGGTTTTCCTTCCCTTCCTTTTTTCTTAGATTTTATTACACTTAAATTTTTTTGTCACGGGTGAGCAATGAGAAAAATTGTCATATTTGTTTCTTTGCTAAATGTTCATTTCTTCATTCACCTATACTTTTTCACATTAAAATTTCTTATAATTTGAAAGTTTGAAATCAAAAACTGTGGCTCAAATGTCATGATATTTCTTTTGAAATTTTGGCTACTGCGTGACTACAGCTGCAAGGTCAAAAGAGATCTTTTTCCTTAAGTTGCAGGGCTGCTTCAAAAATGTAATGCAGGCAAAGTCTTGTTTTTGCTTTGATTTTAATGATAGAACAACCAGATTGTGCTGCAGACATTATAAACAATACCCCTATGAATGGCTTTGACTGAGCCTCAAACATGCAGCCTGTAATTGGGCAAGAGCTTTGTATCATTTGAGCTTCATATCCATTTTGAGTCGCAGCTTAATGTATTTAATATAGGGTTCCTTCCGTTATTGAGTTGACAGATTCCACTTGGCTGAAAGCTAAGTACTAGAAACAATGACTGAAGATACAGATTTAGATCTTGAGACCAACATCCAGTTAAGAATATGCTAAGTGATTACCAAATGACTAATATTCTAGGACATTTCTAACCTCTTTGGTGTAAACCTGGGACAAGTAAATAGATATCAAGAAAAGATCAGTTTCTTAAGATCACGCATGCAAGATTTTTGTGAAAGACAAAGATAGTCTCAAATTATTTATAGAAAATCATTAGCAGATTTTTTTAGCATAACTCCTTTGATATTTCTTCTAATTTATGAGCCATTATGATTTTATTGCTATTAAATTTAAAGTCAGGGTCATATGTTGTGATCACCCTAGTGTCTTTAGTTCCACTGCCATTAGTTCCCTGAGGATCTAGTTCCTAATGATCTAGTTCCTAATGGATTAGTTCCTAATGCCTTGGAACCTTGGCAAGATTCTAATTAATGCCTCATAAAAATGACTCAAATCAATGGAGCTTATAATTCCAATTTGTGTAAAAACTAAAATAGGACAAAAGCAGCACGCTTTTTACAAACTTTCCTTAATGTAAGTCATTTTCTTCTCTATGCCTGCCTCATATAGCCAAAATTTTCCATTCCAAAAGTATGTATTAGCTCATTAAAAATTGAAATGTGATAACAGAATTCTTCTTTCTGAGGTAACTTTCTAAATTACAGTATATTGAAATCATAAAATAGATTTAGTATGTGGGAGGGGAGATATTTACTGAAAAAAAGTCAGATTATAAAGTAATTCCCTCTTTACTCATGTTCTCTTGGTAGTCACATCAATTTCATTGGATTTGTACTAGTTTGAACTTTTTCCTTTTACCACCAGGGGGCAGGGTATGCTAACTATTGAATTAGTGAGCACTAAAAGGCACATGAGACAATTTTAGAAGAGAAAAATCCCTTGAGGGTTTCTCCACAGATCCTTCAAGGGAAGAGCTTTTGAATTATTCATGGTATAATTTTAACATCAGTTATAAGAAAACTAGATATTTATGATGTCCAGCTATTAAAGCTCTTTTACAGTAATTTTTATGTGTTGATTTGTTCCATTTTATTTTTAATAATCATGGTTTTAATTTAAAACTGAAATCTTAAATTGATTAAAGGGAGTTGAAAATAGTGGCTTCTTTTATATTCCCATGTTTATAGATCACTTTCTTCATAATTATTTCAACTCATTTCATGTATCTTCATAAGAAACAATAATCTTCATAAGAAAAGAGCTCTCCTTGAAAACTTTAGAAAATACAGATAAATAGATATAATTTAGAATTTTTTTTGAAGAAGCATTGAGAAACTTTAATAAGTAAGGATAATTTGTTTCACAAGTTTCTCTTTGATGACCATTAGCCATTCCACATGCCAGCAAGTGAAAACATTGTCTTGAAATCTGGTTAATTTTAGAAGAGAACTGTTCGAAAGACAGTGGAAATATCTAGCATGGGTGTTTTATGATCTGTTTTCTGAGGTCAGCCTTCTTGGAAGGAAAGACATTGTCTTGGGATTGAAATGATAAATTTCACTTGTGCCAATGCAGCTGGAAAGAGCATCCCAAGAGGGCATTGACAAAAGACTTAAAATATGTGCAGAATTAATTTTTGTATTGAGGTATAATTGACATATAACATTATATTAGCTTCAGGTGTACAACATAATGATTCTATATTTGTATATGTTGTGAAATGATCATCACAAGTCTGTTAACATCCAGTTACAAATTTTTTTTTCTTATGGTGTAATGAGAGCTTTTAAGATCTACTTTCTTAGCAACTTTCAAATATACCATACAGTATTAGAAAATATATTAAAAGTTTGTACCTTTTGACCCCCTTCACGCATTTTACCTACTCCTCCACTCCCACCTCTGGTAACTACCAGCCTGTTCTCTGTATCTGTAAGCTTGGTTTTTGTTTGCTGTTTGTTTGTTTTTTCAGATTCCACATATAAGTGAGATCATACAGTCTTTGTCTGTCTGATTTATTTCCCTTAGCATAATGCCCTCAAGGTCTATCTATGTTATCACAAATGGCAAGATTTCCTTCTTTTTTATGGCTGAATAGTATTCCATTGTAATAATTTAGAATAGTTTTGAGAGAGAAAACTAGATTTAAATATATTTGAAGTAAACTTCATTTATTTACAAGTACATATGATTCCATATTGATCCTGTTGACCATTCCTTTAATATTATCAGTGATAAGATTTAAAACCTTTATTAGAAGTAAATGTAAATTTCTCAAGTGCATGAACAATGCTTTACTCCTCTCCTCATTTCTTTTCAGTGTCCAAGTAAAACCTATGACCCGCTGATTAAATCCACACGAGATTTTCCAGATGATGTCATCAGTTTCATAAAGCGGCACCCTGTGATGTATAAGTCAGTATATCCAGTTGCGGGAGGACCAACATTCAAGCGAATCAATGTGGATTATAGACTGACACAGATTGTGGTGGATCATGTCGTTGCAGAAGATGGCCAGTATGATGTAATGTTTCTTGGAACAGGTACGCTAAAACCAGCTTATGTTTTCTTTCAAAGGAATTTTTCATTATTAGACAAAGAAAACAAAACCTTCAAAAAATTTATTGGTCAAAATCAAAATGAATAATTATTAGATAATACCTAGTTAGTATTTCTTAAAATTTCATAACATGTGCTTTTAATTGACAATCATAAATATCTCCCAGCCTTTGTTACTGTTATTTGAGCTTTCAAAATATATTTGTATATTATGACTGCAATGTTCCTGCTATAGATTGTGCTCAATACATATTTGTTGAAAGATTAAGGACTAAAATTAAACAAGTAGGACAAAGCAATGTTTCTTTATTTTCAAACTTCACCTTTCCCTCTCTCCACAGAGATATTTGATAAGCCCTACCTCAAAGGATCCCATTACCCAATTTGGAGATTCGCTAACTTAGTTGACTTAAGATAGCTTTTCAAAAGAGTTAATCGCTGCTTTGTAAAAATCTTTAAGTAGAAGCTTCTCAGCGATTATTTTTCCCCTCCTTGAATTTTGTAGATCCAGTATCACTTTCATTATTAGAGCTTCTTCTATTTGTTTATTATTTTGTCTGCCAATTCAGTAATTATAAAATGGTTAAAACATATTTTTTCTAGAAAAAGAAATATTGCTTATTTGTTGCGTCTCAAAAAATAAAAATAAAGTATTATTGGGGGCTGGCCCAGTAGCATAGTGATTAAGTTTGCATGCTCTGCTTTGGGGACCTGGGGTTCACAGGTTCGGGTCCCAGATGCAGACCTACACACCACTCATCAAACCATGCTATGGCAGCATCCCACATACAAAATAGAGGAAGATTGGCACAGATGTTAGCCTCAGGGCCAATCTCTCTCACCAAAAAATAAAAGAAAGTATTATCTAATAATGTCATGTGAATTCTAATGGCAGTAAAGATAACGTGTCATTAAAACAAAAGCACTGCATCCTAGACAATGTTATCTAATTTAATGGATCAAGCATTGCATAAAGAAATAGAAATTAATGGGTTTCCAAAAGGTGGACTTTTTTATCAAAATAGGTTTTCAGGACTACAAAACAATTTTAGAATAATTTTATTTTTAAATATATTGGTTTTTAAAAAGTTAGGTTTATTAGGAAGTGTGTGTGTGTGTGACAGACTCAGGGGCTTTCAAGAACACCAGTGGTCAAGCCTGATTATGTTGCAGATGGCAATACCAAGGCCCAGTAAAATAAGTGATGCTTTCAAGACTACAGAGATTACTATTGAAGCATCAAAACTTAAAGTAGTTTTTCACTAATTCTAATGATTTTGCCGCTTAATTTGCACTGCCCACCCAAAGCTCATTCCTAGATCTTCAACATTTAAGTGTCATCAATGCCATTCAGCCACTAGGTGGTATTACCTAACTTTTACAGAGAAAATTATAAGGATAGATATTCTATTATGACATTTGGAAAATATATATTTAATATTTTCCAAAAATCCTAGAGTTATTTAAATACAGAGTTAAATAATCCCAACTATTTTGTGTAAACAGGATCATTCCTACACATGTTAATATACCCCAACCCCAGTGTTCAGAAGTTTAAAAGCATCTATTTTCTATAAGTTAATTTCCAAATGGGATTTTTTTCTTTTTCTAAAATGTTCTTTTGAATGTATTTCTCTAAAGACACTTTGTAGGACTGCAATGTCAGATCCTGTATTTAAGGCATCTTTTTTAAATGTCAATTTTGGGTTTATATTATTAAATATATAGACTTGTTATAGTCTTTTAAATTGAACTACAATAATCTTAAACAAAATTTCAATTTCTAGCCCATTAATGTTTCTGTAAGTAAAATTTATTTGATGAATGAGCTATAATTTCCCCCATGTAGACAGTGTCAATGATTTCTCTTCCATTTGTTAACATTATTAAAAATACATGTATCTTGCCTTTCATGGTGAATTGATACAATAAGTACTGAATAAATATTTCTTACATTAAGAGAGAACTTTTTATTCTAATATATTTTAACCTTTTTAATTAAGTTCCAAAAATGTCATTCCACTTTTGTTATCATTTCAACTAATATTTAAATGAGACATATATAGTCCTTTTGTTAGGAATAATTTCTAAGTATGTGTCTTTTAATATTTTCTTTATAAATATGTGTTTTATGAGCTAAAACTTATAATATTTCAGGAGGGGAGAATCATATACATTAAGCTTACCTTCTTGCATGCATTATTAAATCTGATTTCTTGAAAGGCATCTAAAGAAAAATGAGGGGTGCCATGTGAAGATTGTTAGGAATATACTTACAACTAAACATCGAAAGAGAAACAGCAGGGTCATGGGTTATATATTTTTTCAGACGTTGGAACAGTCCTAAAAGTCGTCAGCATTTCAAAGGAGAAGTGGAATATGGAAGAGGTGGTACTGGAGGAGCTGCAGGTATTCAAGGTAAGACTTAGTCTAGAGTTCCAGAGGAGATGGTGAAACCGATGGTCATTGTTACGGGACAGGTTTGTTTTAATACATCATCACTTTTCCTGGAGAAGTCTGTGTAGTTAGCTCCTTTATTTTCCTTCTCCTTAAGCGAGGGAAAATAGTTTTAAAAGCAGCTAAGAATGAGGCTCACCTTCCCCTGTAGAATACCACTGAATTTGGAGCTCCTGGGATTGCCCCTTATTACTGCATTCTCTAAGCATGTGCTCAGACAAATTGCCACAGTAAATGAAAGTCTGGGGTCTCTTTTGCTATCCAGATGTTTTTCTACTTTATAAATTTTACTTTTGAATTTTTCCTCAATTGAATTTGAGAAAACTGGAAGAGTGTCTGAATCATGTGTCCTTGCTTTTCGGTAAGGAAGTTTTTTAGAAAGGTTGCATGATAGTGAGTCTACCTGTATGCAAAACTTCCCTCACTCACCAAAAGAGTTAGTAGGTCTAAAATAATAGTCCTCCAGATTTGGGGAATGTCTTTGACATTCAAATTTGAATTGTGGCATTCTTTGTAGATCCTCAGCGAAATTCAATTTAAAATTATTTCTTGAAAATAACATTGGAAATAAAATTGTATTTCTCAGAAGAGCTTTTAAAAAATATGCTGTGCCTTTCATAACATTTTTGTTGAGGCAGACTAGAATGGACTGTTTCCATGTAAACACCTATTGCCTTAAAAGAGAGTAGAGCTTTCCACTGTGAGGGGTGCAAGTTAATTAACATGCTGAGTTCCATAAGATCCTGATTACACTGTGATGATAATAGTGGTCAAGGAGTTAACAAGAACAAGCCCTGCTATCTGGCATGTACCAAAAACAAAATCTTGGGGGATTCCTAGGGGAAAAGCCGATGTCAAATATAAGTGTGAATCCAAATCCAAAAATAAAACCCCCAAACACATATCGGCACATTCAAACAAGTGTCACTCATTGGTTGTTAATGGTCAAGAGGAATTGTTTGGATTCCATTGTTAAGATTAAATAATGAACCTGTTTTGTTAATTCATAACATAAAAGTTATTGGACAGAACTTCCTCTCTTTAAAAATTTTCCTTCATATATTTTCTTAAATTTTTGACATCTGCTGCTGTTTGCCAGTTAGTAAATTTTGGCTGATGGGAAATGAATGAATAGTAGATAGATAGATAGATAGATGAAAAAATTTTTAAACATTCCATCCTTTTTAGTTTGGTAGCTTTTGTGTTCATGTTTCTGATTTTATATTGCATGCGTAGAGCCGTATTTTCTACAAATAAAACTGGTCCTAGTTCATATCATGTACATCCGCATCTTGCAGTGTTCCATAATGAATATGGTCATCCATAAGGAACACTATAACTTTCAGAATTCTGCTACTTGAACAAGTTTTTGAACTACTGATCTAAGTAAGAGCAGAAAGAGGTAATAAATGATTATGGAGATTTCTTGTCGACGCTAGTTTGAATTATATGGAAGCTGTTAAGATAAGCAGATTTAGAAGCAGGAAAAATTTGTGGGTAACTGGAAACTATTTTCAATGCAGAGTGTTTCCTCAACATTTAGGTGATTTTTCTTTAGTAAGGTACTTTAAAACAACTATTTTAATAATTTCCATTAAGGTAGAATCACTGCCCATTGGAAGGAAATAGCAAACACTAAGATCCTTTTCTCCCTTAGATAACGAGCCTTGAAGTTTACTTCAGTGATCTTTGGTATAAGATGAAACAACATATTGGCTACTATAAAAGATTGCTAATGATTATCTTTATTAACATTTAACTTCTATTTTCAGCACTCGTCAATCATCTTGAACATGGAGTTGTCCCTGAAGCAGGTACTTTCTAATTTTTGTGTAAAAATTGACAAAAGCAAGAGGTTGCTTGAATCAAAGTTCATTTTAGGGAAAATCCATTGAAATTGAAAGTTAAATTATAAATAATGTGAAAAACTTTAGATTGTTTCTTTTCTAACTGATTAGAGGCCCTTGTTTCAGCCTTGCCATTGGAGAAATTGAACCAAATTTCATTAATTGAATAATATATTCTCCTCTTCCTTTACCTCTTGAAAATCAAGCTCATGTTTCTAGTCTCATGAGAATGTCTTTCTGTCAAAGCCATAAGGAATTCATATAGAATACCAGCCCTAATCATTAAAAATGGTGTTTAATCAGGGAGCCTAGGAGGTAGACTATGGTTGGTGGTGGCAAAGAGCCCAAGAATCAACCTCCAACCTTCCACTTAATATCTGACTCCTGGAATCAATTTCCTCAACCGTAAAGTTAGAAAATAATATCCACCTCCTAATAAATAGGATGCTGCATGCAAAATTCTAGAGAGAGAGCTGGTACATTAAACGTGAAGTAAATGGTAGTTAATAATAATAACAACAATAATAACATTTAACATGATTTCACAGTTCTTGGATATGATACTCCAAATCCCAATTGATTCAAGACATTCAGACTTGTATTAACATTTCTCTATGTACCCCTAAGATTTAAGAAAGTCATGTGATAATATATTCCACATTAAGGTGTTGCTAACATTGTCTTAATCCACTAGGACTAGTATGGTACAGGGTTTTTAGGGAAAAGATCTAAATAGGTTTCTTCTTCAGGTCTTTTCCATTAATTTGTTCATTCATTCAACATTTAGTTCTTGAAGCCCTGCTACTTAGAGGATATAGAAATGAATGAATGACATAGCCTTTAACCTCCAGAAGTTCATGGTTGCTGGAAGACAAAGAAGCATGCTAACAATGCAGAGCAATAATGGAAGCATGTACTAGGGAGACACAGGAGAGTAACTGGCCTAAAAGGGAGCCAGGAGCAGTAGGGGAAGGTAGCTAAAAGAAAAGAGACGTAACCTGAGCTATGAAGGATGTTGCAGTTAACCAGATAAGGAGAAAGGGGTATGGGATGGGGAAGCTTTGACAAGTAGAAGGTTGTAAAGAGTATGAAGAGTAAAAAGATGTGAAGAGTGAGAGACAATAGCTTATTCTAAGAACTTTGTATACAAAGGACATATGTATGCCTAAGAGCAAAGGATGCTAGAAATGAATCTGGAGAAGTAAGACAGAGCAAGATTAGGCACATCCTTATATTTCCTCCTAAGAAGTATAACAATTTTATCTAAGGACAATGAAAACCTTTAAATATTTTAAGCAGGAGGGTGGCGTGATAAGAGTTTACTTTTAGAAAAATTGGTCTGGCGTGGCAGTGTGGAAAATGGATTGAGTCCTGAGGTAGAGGTGGGGGTTGCTGGAAAACAAGGCTGAACCCAGCAGAAATATTAGGAGACTTATAAGTAATCCAGGAAAGAAATGATAAGGACAGAAACCAAGGCAGTGGCAGTGGAGAGGGAGAGGACGAAGTAGATTAGAGAGTTCTGTCTGAGAGAATGGAAAAGATATGGCGACAGATTCAATGACAAAGAAAGAAGATTCAAAGACAACTCCCACCTTTGTGTCTTGGGTAACTGGGATGGTGTCTCTTGCCAAGGTAGGGTAGCAGGAGTAGATTTAGGGGTATGAGTATGTCCACATTTATGTTATTTACAAGATATATCTGAGCCTTTGTACAATAAGGAAGGTAAAGAAATGAGAATAGAAAAGAGGGAAACCCGGCAAAGAAAAGAATCATCAATGGAGACAGAAGTCTTAGGCAGAAATAAAAAGGGAGAAAAGGAGAAAGTGAAGAGAGTTTCAACAAGAATGTGGTCCCTGGCGTCAAATACTATGGAGAATTTTTGTAAAACAAGTGCAATGTACATTGCATTTAGTAACCAGGAAGTCTTAACTGACATTTTAATGGGTGGCAATGGTATAAGATACATTTCTGTAGGTTGAGTACATGGATATTATTTATGTCAATATCTATTTCTCAGGTTTTTTTCCTCCACTTAAAGTGTGCTATAGTTCACTAGAATTGACCATGAGTTCCTTGAAGGCGCAGAAGATGGTTTATTCACTTGTATCATCCCTCTCCCCACCCCACCCCTCACCACATACACTCAGATGAATACATGCAGGGAGCAGTGCATTATTTTCAGACCTTATTTTCAATATGTAATTTTATTTGCTAAGTTTTTCAATATCATGCAGCCTTTCATTTGTGATATGGCATCCCTCAAGTCTCCTTAATACTTTCTTCACAGTAATATCAAATACTTTCTCTCCCACTTATAACCCATTTTTCCTTTAGGAATCAGTAAGTACTTCATTAGCAAATGCTTGGTTAAAACCACAGGAAAGTTTTATAAATCTCTTTCAGTCATCTCTCATGTAAGGAGCCACGGCAGGGGAAGACCATCAGTGTTGCCTACAGCATCTGTGCTTGATATTATCTACCAAAGTGTATTTTCAACTATTGAGAAAGAATTTGACATCTTAATTCCTCAGTCTAGCAGCTGGTTTTTGACCTTCTTAAATTACTGCCAAGGTTACTCTAGCTCCGTAGAATGCTGTCCATTTCAGTATCAACATCTTCAAACCACGATCCTGCCAGGGGCAGAAGTGATTGACTTATCTTACTCTTCGTTACATGTCTGTACAAGTGTTTATAATGGGCAGGACACCTGAGAAGACAGATTTAGATCTGTGATGGGGTATTCAAGAAAGGGGAGTTCTTGAGACTGATCGGAAAGATGCTTCTAATTCATTTGTTTTGCCTGATTTGCAGCAACAGTTGTACATTGGTTCCCGAGATGGATTGGTTCAGCTTTCCTTGCATAGATGCGACACTTATGGGAAAGCCTGTGCCGACTGTTGTCTTGCCAGAGATCCCTACTGTGCCTGGGATGGAAATGCATGCTCTCGCTATGCACCCACTTCGAAAAGGTAAGAGGCCCATAGAGTGATATGAAGCCTTCATTATACACAGTGAATATATCACACAAATACCTTGTCTAATAGTTTAAAGAGAACATCTATAGATAACATGGTCAGTGGTAGGAATATTAAAATTAAAATATTGTTTTATAGTTTTGCATTAAACTAAATGTTGAAGGAGGATAAAATGGAATGTTCTGAAATTCTGAAATGTGAAACTTTTAAAAATTCTGACAAATTGTTTATATTCTTTTCCTTCATCTATGTTAAATACCATTAAAAGTTTATTTTTCTTTACTACTTTGCCCTTTCTACATCTTCCCTTGTTCCCTTATTTCTAAATATGTATATACTCATACTTACTGTTTTACAAATAATGTATAAATATAGGTGTTTGTAAAAGTGTGGATTATAAACAGCTCACAGCACATCCCAGTGACTTGGGACAATTTGCCTTTTACTGTAATAACTCTAACTTGGTCAATTTCTGCCACTCAGATGTACTTAAACATCAAACTGTTTTCCTGCAGTTTGTAGTTCACTGCTTTTTGTGCTCTTAAAGAGAATGCTATTTTGAGCCAACAATACCCAGCTAGGAATTTATTCTATACAGACATAGGCAAAAGTACCACAAAGTTACATGTTCAAGGATGCTCATTTCAGCACTGTCTGCAATAGTAAAATTACTGGAAACAACCCAAATGTCCACGAATATGACTGATGCTAGCTAAATATAGTATGATATAATTGTTTTAATATGTGGATTATAGTAACACTTTTTTCCTAACCTAAAGTATTTTTCAAAGTATATTTTTCTCTAGGCAAAATGTCAGCAAATTGTATATGGTATTTTTTTTATCTCTAGGCTTTATTAACAAAATAAGGTAACAGGTAAGCCTATGTTAGTCCCACTAGTACATATGCACTTTTTTCTTTTGAAAGTTTACTGATTTGTCAAGTTGCAAATTCTTGGAAACACAGATGAAATATATAGTGCAACAGCAGATACTGCTTAAAATTAGGAGACATCATATATGCCCTGAAATCTCTTAATTAAATGTGAGTGAGATACCAGTATTACAAGTTGGAAGTAAAAAGCAGCAATATTTTGTTATAGTTTTTGGCTGAGAATATATTTATCATAGTGAGTCTTTGGGCAATGTTTTTCTTTTCTAGAAGCTAGAAAACAAAAGTGCTCATTAGCTGGTAATTGAACCTTCAGTTTGATGAATTGACCCTGTTCCTTAAGAAGCCAAGATTTACAAACGTTCTTGACCTTATGTGCCTTATACCATCATAATTTTTTCTTCTTGTATTTCCCAAGACTGTCTCTCTGATCTTGCAGACATGCCACTGTGATGTTTTCCCTTACCTAACATAATGTCCATGTGAGCCAAAAAACGTGTGTGATAGATGACTCTTGTACAGGATTGTCATCTGGTCAGCATTGCCCTTAAGGAACACCCTAGATATTGCAGAAGTTTTACTGTGACCTCTGTGATCACTGAAGTGGCAACGTAAAATAGCCAAAGCAAATGAAAATATACTATAAGAATATAAAACTTGTTTAACTTAGAGGTAGCAGATTTTCTTTTTTTTATACAATAGTGCTATTTTCTCTTAAGGGAAATATGTGACCAAATGCACAAAACCATTATTATTATCATTAATATCATATCACTATCAGAAAAACAATGTGAACTATACTATCAGCAGATAGGAATCAATTCTACTCATTCTCACCATTTCAAATTCGTACTTCTATTTCAAGTGACAGTATTTATCTTGTCACTTAATCAAATTTGTGTAATAATGAATCTTCATGTGAAAGGGGTTTTGTATTTGTGTGTACATTCCTACCTGCTAACAAAAGCTCTTTTATATCTTATTACTTTCACAATGACTGACTGAAAAAAGAGGGTAGGGATAGTTACCCCTGTTTGATGTACATAAAACCTGAATTATATGTATATTCAACCTGTTCTGTTGAATAACTTGTCAAAAGTAAAGGAAAGAGAAAGCTGTAGTAGTTAAATAAAATTCACATCATCTTATGGGCAAAACAAGATTCATTCCATTAGGAACAACTAGTGCCTAATACTGGTTCTACTACGAGTAGTGTTTGAGTTAATGTTAGAGTGATTGGAATATTGACCTGCACTGAAGTTAAGTAGTAAGACAAGCATAGTTCTCCTTCTGCCACTGTTGTTGTGTTAGATGTAGACTTTGGATAGTCCAGTTATCAGGCTTGAAGTTCTAAACAGTTTAATTCTTTTTCCACAGGAGAGCTAGACGCCAAGATGTAAAGTATGGAGACCCAATCACCCAGTGCTGGGACATAGAAGACAGTAAGTATAGGTTTGATATGTTTTTCTCCCATTTAAAATTTTAAGCTTACTCTTTGTGTGTCTTTATACTATATAACTTAAAACCTCTATTATATAGGAAGATCTCATTGTGTATAATGCTGCGTTCTGGAAAAGCAATAGAAGATTTTGTAAATCAACCCCCTGTCTATATGCCTAAGTGAATAATCCTTTGTTATTTCATTATTTGTTTCATATGTCTTTTAAAATTCCCCTCCTTTTTTTTCTTTTTTACTGCCTTATCCATCCTTGTAAAGTTTGAAAACGGCTGTTAGATATAAAGCAGGATATAGTCCAAAACATGTGGACATTTAGAGTAAGCTCAAAGACACCCTCCGAGAAAAGTCTAACGAAAGTGTAGGCACTTAGTAGAAAGAAGTTTTAGGGAGGCTTTGCATTATTTGTATTCACTATTCATGTTTTCATTCAATGAGAAAATATTTACTAAGTGACTTCCATGTGCATACACTTGTCTCAGGTATACTTTGAGACAAAGAAACTCCTTAGAGAGCTTATGGTTCTTTGGGGAGATGTCATAAGGCAAAATTAGTGATATGGGAATTTAGCAAAAAGGAGAGGTCACCAGAGACCATTCAGAGATATTGTTCGGAGAAAATTTCATAGAATGGAAGATCCTGAAAGTCTGACTATGAGCGGGGTAGAGTAAAAAATAGGGAGGACGTCTGTTGAGTGAGTCTGGTAACAGAGAAAAAAAAAATCTTTGAGAGTATGTATTCCAGAGCCTCAGTTACTTTCAACTGTCAAGCTGTACCTTCAGATAGAAGATACATGTGCACACGCATGTGCATGCACACGCACACACAACTGGGGAAAGAAAAAAGAACTGCCTTCCCTTAATCACATTGTTAGGAACTACCCAAGCACTGAATAAACAACCCAAATTTCATACTTGGTGGTCCAGCAGTTTTCTTAATTTAAAAACAGAACAAATTGTATTATTCATAATTTCATTCTTCTGAAAAATAAGCTGTGGTCCAGAATAGTAGAATAGTATGTTTGACTTCTTGTTCTAATTTGTAAGTGACTCACTATCATGTCCAGTGTTTTATTTAGCAATCATTACTGTGTCCTATGTGTACGATTTTTCACATGTGCGTAGGAGATTTATCAGGAATGTTATAGGTATTGAAGATATACCAATGAACAAAAAAAGAAAGGAATCTGTGCATTCATGGATATACATTCAAGTGTGTATTAGGGGAGGGAGCAGGCAATAAACATGAAAACAAGTAAAATATATGTTTTCTCAGATAATGATAAATGTTATAAAGAAGATGATATAAAACAGTTGCTGCCTAAGGCACTCACAATTATTGTCTCCATTTCACCATATCCCATTCTTGCTATAACCCATTGCTGTAACCCTCTTTTCTAATCATCAGCATCACTCTACTCAGTCCATTTATTGTCAAGATCATCAGCATTTTCCTCCTTGCCAAATCCAATCACCAACTTTCAGTTCTCATTTTTACTTAATCTCTAACTCCCTCCTGCTTGAAAGACTTTCTTCTCTTGACTTCCAGGCAATGATGTGCTAGGGCCAGTTCCTTTGGTCCTATAAGAGCTGATGGCTTCTTCTTTAGGAATTTTGTGAGCTGGTTTTCAACCATTGGTAGCTTGAATCAGCCATAGTGAGAATTTTTACACGAGGAAAATCACAAGCACTACAAATCAGGGCTTTTTGTTTTCAAACAGATGGTGTCCCAGCATACCAATGCTCATAGCACTGCATGGTTCTGGTTTTCCTCTTACCTTATAGGCTGCTCCTTCTGAGTGTTCTTAACTTTGCTTTCCATCTCACCATGTAAATATCCAATCTCTGCCTATTCACTCCCTAATACCATCAATTTCAATACTATCAGAGGCAATTTGACTCCCAAATTCATAGTCCAGTTCTGAACTCTACCCTGTGTGCCAAATTTGTATGGCTTGTACGCCTACTCAAGAACCCTTCTTAAATGCCTAATAATTATCTGAAATTATATCTTAGAAAGAATTGTTGTTATCGTCTCCAAAATTTATTTGTTCTGCAGACTTTCCCATATTAATAAATAGCACCACCATTCACCCAACTGCTTAGGTAAAAAAGCAGCTAGGAGTCATCTTTTTATTTTTCACTTTCTTTCATATCCCAGCACCAGCTTCTCATAAGTCCTTTGGGTTCTATGGCCACAACTATTAATACTTCTCATCACCTCCATAGATGCCAACCTAACTGAAGCCACCATACCTCCTCAGTAGCTGCTTAACTCGTCTCCCTGCTTCCATGCTTGCCCCTCTTCAGTCTGTTCCCTACTTAGTAGCCAGAGTAACCTTTTTAGAAACTTCAGTCAGATCATTTCCTTACTTCATTCTCTTACTCAAAATCTTTCACTAGCTTCTTAGAACAGTTAGTAAAAGATCCACAGCCTTTACCATGGCCTACAGATTCTACTTCGTCTGATTCCTAATACATCCACTGACCCTCTCTCGCATCACTGTTGCATTGCTTGCTCATTGGCTTTCTCTTTTTCAGAAGCACCAGTCTGGTTCCTGCCTCACCCATGTTTGCATTTGTTTCCTCTCTACATGAGGAACTCTTCTCTTCAGATGTCCACATAGCTCCATCTTCACATCATTTAATTCTGTGCCTAAAATGTTGATTTCTTAGAGACACCTTTCCTGACCATCCTTCCTTTCTCCCTTTCTACCCCTTATTCCCTAATCTGCTTTATTTTTATTTGTAGTGCGTAACACTGCCAGATACTAAATTCTTTATTTATTCACTTGATTACCTTGTCTCTGTCACTAGAATGTAAGTTTCTTGAGGGCGGTAAATTTGCCTGTCCTAGTCACCAGTACATCCCCAACACCTAAAGCAATGCCAGTATGGAAGGCACATGGGATTGTTTGCATAATGCGTGGGTAAAAGGCAGGGTACTCAAATGGATAGCATTTGAGCTATTCCATAAGCAGAAAGTCAAATTTTACAAAGTAGATGAAGTAACGATATTTAAAATCAGAAAGACCTTGCACAGGTTAGGTTAAGTTTGTGACACTATGTTATTCTCTGGAGTTTATGTTTACCCTGTAGGTAATAAGGAGCTATTTCATATTTCTAAGAAAAGTCATTTTTTAAAATAAAAGTAATTAACAGCTGTATAGATAATTGATTGGAAGAGGAGAAGACAGAGACAGAGAATCAATTGTGGGAATTAAAGTAAAGATTAGAAGTGTTTTTACAAACTAAATTATTTGCAACCTTAAGGGAGAGAAGGGGTCAGATTTGAACAGTAGTTTGTAATAAAGAAGAAAGGAGGTGGCTTGCTTATAATCCACCGTAACTATGTGTTGCACTTTACTTGATAATCGTCTTGATAATTGGCAGATACATGTTTTCTTCCTTCCTTCCTTCCTTCCTTCCTTCCTTCCTCCCTTCCCTGCCATTCCCTTGCCAACTCTCCCTTCCCCACCCCTCCCCTTCCCTTCTTTGTTCAGTGCTTTAATGGTTATATGCTGTGATGCTGCATGATCATGATTAACAATGTTAAACACATCTAATCTTGCTGCAGCGACTAATACATGACTTCAGTGATATGTCATATATTTACTATAAAGAACTATTCCAGATATTTCACTATGAAAAACATGTTTTTATTCTAACCAGGAAAGTTAAAATGTTATCTTCAAAATTATTTTACACTCAATGAGGAGATATTCTGCTACTTTGAAACATTATTGTATACAACTCTTATACCTTTAAAAATTGATAGTAATAGAATATTATATATAATATGGATGTATATGTATATACATGTGTAGATTTACATGCATATGTGCATGCATACATATATTTTTTAATTAAAAAATAGGAATTATTTTTGAGGTGTAATTGACATAACATATTAGTTTCAGGTGCACAGCATAATGATTCAACATTTGTATACATTGTGAAATGATCACCATAATAAATGTAGTTAACATCCATCACCACACATAGTTACAAAAAGATTTTTTTATTGTAATGAGAACTTTCAAGATTTACTGTCTTAGTGACTTTCAGATATGCAACAGAGTATTATTAACTATAGTCACCATGTGGTACATTACATCCCCAACGTTTATTTCATAACTGAAGTTTGTACCTTTTGACTTCCTTCAGCCATTTTGCCCACGTCCTAGCCCTGCCTCTGGCAACCACCAATCTGTTGTCTGTATCTATAAGCTTGCCTTTGTTTTTTTTCTTAGATTCCACATATAAGTGAGATAATACAGTATTTGTCTTTCTCTGTCTGACTTACTTCACTTAGCAGAGTGCCCAGAAGGTCCATCTGTGTTGTTGAAAATGGCAAGATTTCCCTTTTTTATGGCTAAATAATATTCCTGTGTGTGTGTGTGCACATGTATGTATGTATACATATCACATTTTATTTATCCATTAATCCATTGATGGACACTTAAGTTGTTTCTATTTATTGGCTATTGTAAATAATCCTGCAATGAATATTGGGGTACATATATCATTTCAAGTTAATGTTTTTGTTTTCTTCAGATAAATACTCAGAAGTGGGTAGTTCTATTTTTAATTTTTTGAGGAACCTCCATAATGTTTTCTGTAGTGACTGCACCAATTTACCTTTCCACCAGCAGTACACAAGGGTTCCCTTTTTTCTACAGCCTTGCCAACACTTGTTATTTCTTATCTTTTTTTGCTAATAGCCATTCTAACAGGTGTGGGTGATATCTCATTGTGGTTTTGATTTGCATTTCCCTGATGATTAGTGATGTTCAGCATCTTTTCACATACCTGTTGGCCATCTGTATGTCTTCTTTGCAAAAATGTCTATTCATTTCCTCTGCTTATTTTTAGTTGGATTGTTTGATTTTTTGCTATTGAGTTGTTTATTTATTTTCAATATTAACTCTTTATCAGATATATGATTTGTAAGTATTTTCTCACATTCAGTAGGTTGCCATTTCGTTTCTTGGTGATTTCCTTTGCTGTGCAGAAGCTTTTTAGCTTGATGTAGTCTCACTTGTATGTTTTGGCTTTTGTTCCTTGTGCTTTTGGCGTCAGATTCAGAAATTCACCAAGGAGCTTCCCACCTATGTTTTCTTCTAGGAGTTTTATGGTTTTAGGTCTTACATTCAAGACTTTAATCCACGTTGAGTTAATTTTTGTGTATTGTGCAAGATAATGGTCCAGTTTCATTCTTTTGCATGTGGTTGTCCAGTTTTCCCAACACCATTTATTGAAGAGACTTTCCTTTCCCCATTGTATATTCTTGCCTCCTTTGTTGTAAATTAATTGATCATATATGCATGAGTTTATTTCTGAGCTCTCTATTCTGTTTCATTGATTTATGTGTCTATTTTTATTCCAATACCATACTGTTTTGATTACTTTAGCTTTGTAATATAGTTTGAAATCAGGGAGTGTGGTGCCTCCAGCTTTGTTCTTCTGTCTCAAGATTGCTTTCGCTATTTGGGGTCTTTTGTGGGTCCATACAAATTTTAGGATTGTTGGGGCTGGCCCAGTGATGTAGTGGTTAAGTGCACAGGTTCCACTACGGGGCCCGGGTTTCACAGATTCGGATCCTGGGTGCAGACATGGCACCAGTTGGCAAGCCATGCTGTGGTAGGTGTCCCACATATAAAGTAGAGGAAGATGGGCATGGATGTTAGCTCAGGGCCAGTCTTCCTCAGCAAAAAGAGGAAGATTGGCAGCAGATATTAGCTCAGAACTACTCTTCCTCTAAAAAAACAAAACAAAACAAAACGAATTTTAGGATTCTTTATTCTGTTTCTTTGAAAAATGCTGTTGGAATTTTAATAGGGATTGCACTGAATCTATTCGATTTCTTTGAGTAGTAGGGACACTTTAACAATATTAATTTTTACAATTCATGAGTATGGAATATCTTTCCATTAATTTATGTCTTTAATATTGTTCATTAGTGTCTTATAGTTTGCAATGTACAGATCTTTCACCTCCTTTGTTAAATTTATTCCTAGGTATTTTATTCTTTTTGATGAAATTATAAATGGGATTGTTAAGAATAGGAAATTTAAAACTCAGAAATGAAACAAATATTATTGGAGGCAACAGTAAGTTTATTTCCAGTCAAATTGATATAGTGATGACTTTGTGTTAAACAGTCATTGTTTTTACCAATTTGAAAAAGTATTTCATACAAACAGCTATTTCATTTCTCCAGTTAATTCCACTAATTTATCTTTGACCTAACTGACCAATTCTTTGGTTGAATCAGTCTAACTGATTTTCTCCTGAGCCCTTGTCACGTCACCTAACAACCAACCTGCATCCTCCCTGCTTTGTTCATGAACTCCCTTTGCTCAGGAAAACAGTATCTGTTACTATGAAATGCATGTCTATCTCCTCCATGATCAGCACTGGTGATCTTTCTCTACATTAGGAATTTATTAACTGTGAAAATCATAGATATAATCTGTTGAATTGGCAGAGATAGTGGATGGATTACAGGTTTTAAATGGAATCCACACATTTTGAAAGTTAGATGAGGTTAATTCATAATGGTGCCAGCATACTTGACTTAATCATTGCTGGTAAAACACAAATAAGTTCAAAAGAAATTTTGTGAAAAGAAAGCCTAACTATTGTATATATGTGCGTTCATGCCATTTGCTGGTAGTTTTGTGTACTTAGATTTGGATTCATTTAGGTCCCTTAAACCTCACTCTGGTTTATGCCTAAAATGCTAAGTAGGCCCATCTGCAGAATTGAGACATCTGAATATATGATGAAAAAGTGCAAGTTTGGGCCAGGCTGAGCAGCCGTCATTTTTTATTTCATCAAATTTGAGCTACAGATCTTAGATCACACATGGGACACAGCCTTTGGCTACTCTGGATGGAATGTATTTCAGATGGTGCAGTTGATTTACAAGAATAGGGTATCTGAGATACTGCTCCTTTAGCATCCCATTAACTATCTTACAGCAAATCCATGTTGGGTTAAAGTATCCCTCTTTGAATAAAAGAGAACATTTTTTGGTAAATAAGACAGATAAGGTTCAGATTCTGGGTATTAGAGCATCTATTATCATCATTATAGAATTTCATCAAGTATGGACCACTGTACTTACCTTTCTGACCTCAGAATTTCTTACTGTTATGTGGTCGGCTCTGTGGACCATTTCATGATAGAATTTCCATTTAAATATGAAGTAAATTGTTCTTCCAGAGCTATCTACAAAATTGGTTATATTTTGTACAAACTAAAAGGTGTTAAAGCATTAAAAGATGCTAAAGTTTTATTCAATTCAGCTCAGAGAAAGAGACTCAATGTTTAGAATTAGATCTTGTGAATTCTTATTTTAAAAAATCAATTGCAAATTGTTAATATATTGATGAAATAGTAGAAATTGCAATGTAGAGATGGAGTTTTAAAAATCACTTTGTTAGATAATATTTGACTCTTAGGTAACAATATTATAGCATGGATTTCCTTTCTTTTTAATAATGTGTATGAATCGTTCTCCCATGGCATCTGTTCTAAATCAGTCTATTTTCCCATTGCTTTTAAAATCAGGTCAAGGGTAATCTCCTATTCTATGTTTGCTTTCCAGGCATTAGTCATGAAACTGCTGATGAAAAGGTGATTTTTGGCATTGAATTTAATTCAACCTTTCTAGAATGTATACCTAAATCCCAACAAGCATCTATTAAGTGGTATATCCAGTGGTCAGGAGATGAACATCGAGAGGAGGTAAGTTATAGTCATCAAAGAATGCTCACCTTGAAGGAAATAGTGTAAAACTTAAATCAGGTTTTGGTTGTGAGAGATGTTCAACTTTTAGTGCCATATGGTACTCTCATCACTGTTTGATAAAAAGGAAAATAACAGTTTATACTCACTAACGTCAAAGGTAACAATGCCTTTGAATAAGAGTAGGCCAATTCAATACCAATGTGTTAATAAAATATAGTTAAAAGAATATTGAATTTTTAAAAAGAAGTTTACGTGGTTCTTTTCAAATTTTTATTTCTCATAGATTGTCTACATTTTAGAACAATTCCCTCATCAGGAACAAGAACACAAGATTTTCCCCCCACAGTAGCACAATGACTAAATTTTAATTCATATTGTGTTTGATTTAAATCATAAAATGAAACATGTCAAGTATGTTTAAAAATATAAATATCTATCTTTATCATATCATATGAACAAGTTGGATAAGTATCTGGACATATGTACTTTTTCACTCTTATGTATTAAAATTAAATCAACAGAGAGAAAAGTAATAGGGGTATTTTTTTCATCTTTTGACTTTCTGTTTCAATCTTGTTGACATATACGTGTGATTGCAACATATCACAGATTTTATGAGGGAGATAGGTTACATATGTTAGTGAACTTAGATGAGTTTGTGTAGTCTGAGGAATCCTATATTAATATTATTTGAATGTCATGAAATGAAGATTAATTAGCAGAATTTTTATTTTTCTATTTCAGTGCCTAAGAGAAACCAATAATACTCAGTCTAGAGTTCTAAAATTCCCAATATTAAACTAAGGACACTGTAATGAGTAAAGGAATGAACACAGGATTCAGAATTAGATGTCTTGAGTTGAATCACGGTCCTGTGTCCTCAGGTAATATCACTGAGCCCCTGTGGGCCAGAATTTTCTAATGTGAACAACATAAATTCGAAAGTTACTTTGGAAATAAAATGAGAAAACACATATGAGAATGTGAATTTCAAAGCAGAGGGTTACTCACAAGTGTAAAATATGCATATAAAATTGCAGATATTCTCTATCAGGGAGGATGTATGAAATAGGAAATAACACTGATCATGTGTTCAGCTTGACTGCTGAGGATTCATGAGCTGGTTATGACTTCTCTAACACCTCGTTTCTCTGTCATGTAAGTAGGTGGACCAAATGCTCTCTAAAATATCAGCCTCCTCGATGAGTCTATGAACATTTAAAATAGTATATGTAATCAGTCAAGCATTAGTGTAGAATAGTGGTTCTCAACCTCAGGTGATTTTGCTCCCAGAGAGTCCACATTTGGCAATATCTGGAGGCATTTTTGGTTGTCACAACTGGGTGGGTGGGTGGAGAGTACTGCCGGCATCTAGTGGGTAGAGGTCAAGGATGATGCTAAACATACTGCAATGCACAATCTCTCACATTCAAGAATTATCTGGCCCCAAATGTCAGTAGTGTTAGGTTGAGAAACCTTCTAAATCAAATTTTATCATAAATTAATTTAATTTAAATATATGTTCCACTATTACATTAAGAAGTTAATATCATTCTCTTCATCTAAGATCTTCAAGAATAAATTTTTCTATCAAAATGTTAACTCTTTACATGCTTAATACCAAGGGAATAACTCCATTCTTTATTATGTCAAATTTCTCCACTAAAACTTGATTCTTCATCATTACTGACATCCATAAATTCTTAGATTACACCGTATCCGTATTTATTCTAAATGTTTATTTTAAAGGTCCCATTTTTACCAATATATATTCAAGTATTATCTGACATGGAAGTGATTATGTAATTTTGAAATATAAAGCATCTACCTTTTATCCAAGAAATATTGGATGAATGTTACCTAAATTTTTTTAACATGCAGTTTTTCTTTTAATTACATTGCATATTTTACTTTTAAACATCCCAACCAGTAGTTTTAATTTTATAGTTAATAAAGTTTGATAATTTCTTTTTAGTTAAATATAATTCTTTAGTAATGATTTTTCCTATGGAAAATTTAGTCTGACTTTTAGAAAAATATGGTTCTCTGATTGGAGTAATCTCCTAGTTATAGGTACATATATTTGCCTATGCATGTTTACATTCACATCTCTTATGTTCCTGAAAATGCTATGCTTTACTTTAATGGACCTTTTAATAGTATATCATACAGTCATGGTGTTACCACGCTCCATGAATTTCAATGGAGCAGAAATAGTATATTTATTGAATTTTATTTAAAAGTATTGTAGCTGTAATATTTCAACTGGCATTTTCATCTATCTTTGTAAATAGGTAGTTATACATTGTCCAGGATACACAATACTGCTTCCCGAGCTGAGGAAAGGGGCAAAATCCAGACTGCATTTGAAGCATTTTTCCCAGCAGGATACCTTCTGCTCCTTACCAAAAAGGTCACAGTCTGGAATCTTTCCTCCCCTCAAATAAGCCTGAGGGAGGGACCAGGATCTCCTGTGGCACAGAGGCTGTCACCAGGTTATTCTCTGCCAGGAGGAGAACATTTCCTTACTGAGCTGTTTCACGGTTGGGTGCTGTTGGCGAGGTCATAAGGCAGTTATCTGCTGACTTTCTTATAAAGCTGTTCTTGAAACTGATGATGTTTATGCTGTAACTTAGCAAGTTACTCAGCAGTCCCCAAGCTTCTGTGGAACTTTTGGGATCTGAATGAATAAAAGAGGCAATACCTTTTGCCATTTGTGGTAGTATATTTTTCTGTAGATTTTTTTAAATATTGTGAAAACATCTTCAAATATTTACATTTTTCTATTTGTAGGTCTTTGTTTTATTGTTGTTCTTTTTATTGTAAAGCATTATAAGTGGTTTTGAAAATGTGGTAATACATAAAGAACTATAAGGCCACTAAGTGTAAGTGAGCACAAATACTATTTTGATGTCTATCCCAGGGGATTTTCCTACTAACCATTACATTGTGAGCATTTTCTCTTATCATTCAATTTTCATGCCAGGTTTTTGCTGTCATCCACCCCCACCACCCTGATGGCATGGGCATCCATGGGTGGTCTATGCTTTATTTAAATAGTTCATGTATCCTCTTTAAAAACGAGTCAGCTTCCCTATATCTAAATCTTTCTCTACTTGTCTAACTATTTTCTTAGGGCAAATTGCTAGATGTAAAATAAGTGAGTTAAAGGCTTTAATTATTTTTATAGCTTTGGATAAACAACTGTATATTGCTAATTTCCCATCAAAATCTCCATATTAGTGCCTTCTCTGAACTCCTGAGGCAAAATTGTGTATTATAATTTATGAAAATCATTACCAGTTTGATATGAAAAATAGCACACTGTCTTAGCCTCTATTTCTTTGAATATTAGTGGATGTGAACTCACTTTCTCATGTTTCTTGGCTGTTGGTTTCAGTTGTATTTGGTGAATTGCCTTACCTGTCATTTGTTTAGTTTACATTGATATATTCATTTAAAAATTATTTTAACAATCCCTTTATATATTATAGATATGAACTTTTTAGTTTTATACATATTATAAGTAACTTTTTATTATATTTTATATCTCTGAAATTTTTCTGTGTTCCTTAGATACAAAAGTTTTATATTTTATATAGACTAATCTGTTGATTTATATGTGTATGATTTCTCACTTATTATACTTAGAAATTCCTTCCCTGATAAAACAGCAAATATATATTTTCTAGTTATTTTATGATTTTATTTTTACAATTACAGCTTACACTTTATATTTGCATTTACTCAAAGATAGTAATTAATCTTTGGGTTAGTTATGTATAAATTTGATTTTTTTTCTTTTAAATAATGAGCCAGTTGCCTGAGCACTATTTTGAAATGTCTTCCTTCTGTGTTTGTTGAAAAAAGGAGATATTCTTGAAGACACTTCCGAGACAGGTGCAATGCTTTAGCTGTGAAAGAACTGACAGGTGAATTTATCTGCAAAGGAATTACCATTAGGCTGCTATTATCAGAGAATGCAGTCCCTGACCTTTACCTGCTGCTTAGTACCTAAATGTCCTTTGTCCCTTTCCATGTCACTCTTCTCGTTTTAAATGAATTGCCCTTCACTGAAGATCCGCATTTAATAATGCCAAATATATTATCCTTGTTCACATTAGGCAAATGGGTAATCGACCCCTGTTCAAGCATGATCTTGATTTGTAAGGCTGAGGAGGTTTTTACTTATCACTTCTAGAATGGAGAAAATTCCATGAGTTTAAATCAGTGGCTGGAGGTTACATTCTTTCTTTGTACAGGAGCTGAATTTTCTAAATTAACTGTGCTGACATTTTGCTGTCGAGATACAGTCTGAATAATGCATCCTATTCCAGCATGGAATGAAAGCATTGCAGAGAATGAGAATGTAAAGTAGGCAAATGTTAATCAACCACCTAATTTCTGGGTCACATATTTCTGTCTCTAGATTGCAAAAATCCTATGAAAATGTATCAATTCAAAATGTATTTCCTTAGACATGCCATTTCATTAAAGGCATATTTTAAAATTTTAGAAAGAAAAAGTCACTCAAATGATCTAGTAGACATTAGATAAATCCAGAAAGAAGTTTATTGAAGCAAGATTTAAATCTGTAGGTAAAAAACCCAGGAAAAATTAAGCCTTCCATGGAAGAAAGGAAAGGTAAAGGATCATGATGGAATAATGAAATGCCAGGTGTTTATGAAACTGAGTCCTGTAGGGACAGAAGTAGACTAGAAAGGAGGGAAAGGAACCTCACTTCAGAGTAAAACAATGTAAACAGGATACAAAAAGAGAATAGCAAAAATAATGATGAAGTGTTGTGTAATATGTGTGAAATCAAAATCATAATTTCTTCCTGTCAGAATATTAAAGAGAACAATAAAAAGTAGTGAGTCAGAACTGCTGTGACAATCTCTAAAAGCCACAGTAAATTCAGTTTAAATATTAGCAAGAATACCAATTATGAGAAGGAAATCTAGAGATGAACCGGAACTGAAGTCAGCCACTTTGATTGTCATGCTAATAACTACAGGCCATTTTCTATTAAGAGAATTACAGAAATAAAGGCTTCAGAACATCACCTCTCCAGCAACATGGCAGTGGTCTATAATATTGCTAGTAATACTTCACGTTTTAACTTTCAAACAGCTTTACTTTTAACCCCGCAAATACACCATATGCTCTTTCACCAACTTGATAAATGGGAAACCAACTGGGAAAGATAAATGAGTAATCCTAGGAAGCAGATCATACCGGGATGAGAACCTAGACTCTGGAGTCAGAATGTGATAATCTAAGATGTATTTAAGTTTTAAAAAATAATTTCTACAATAAAATTATTTAAAGGAAAATATACAGTGTGTTAAATTTGAGATTGATATTTCTGCTTAAGATTGGCCCTTTAGAACCCTACTGGTTCAAATTCACATTTAGTTTAGACATGAGACTACTATAGTTTCTGAGAATGTAAGTAAATTCAATGTTAGTTTGTATAACAATAGCATTTTAAGATGTCTAGGCCTTTAGAATAAATCCACTGGGAAAAAAATACTACACACCCAACTCAGCAAATGAACAAAGTAAGGGAAACAAACAAACAAACAAAACCGGGATGGTGTTGATTCAGTGTAGAGTGAAGGCGGGGCTGGAGACCATTCGGCCTCGTTAACCAGGGATCTGAGCTGTGACCTGCCTTTGGCCTCACATGGTACCCCGCCAGCTGCACTTCTCTGGCACAGAGGGTGGTTGGCCATATATTTGTTAGTTAACTGGGCTGGTAGCCAGAGATGTTGCTTTTCCTTTTCTCATATTTCGAGAATTGGAGGGATTTTTCCTACATATTTTTCACATAAAGCTGCAGAGTATGGTCCACCCACTGTGAATAAATTTAATTTAGCCATCTTTATGCCTCCTCGATTTCCATCAACTAAAAGTCTACAATATAGGGGCAGATGTGTAAACTGGGAAATCTTCCAGACTTCTTTGTTGTTGTTGTTGTTGTTATTCTACTTAATGCTGAGCCACTCAACAATAGTCTGCATTAAACAAGCCTCCTGTGTTGGTAAACATGCCTCTAGTTTTATTGAAGATAGGTTTCCTATTCACACCAGATTGTGGGCCAGGCAAGCTTAAATGTCTGAATTGTCTTTCAGTACTACTGCTTCAAAGGGTAAAGAGCATCACTTTTCAGAGAGGTTCTTTTTGTTCATTGAACTTTCTCACACTTGAAATCACATTACCATGCTATAGTATATCCAGGTATGGCAAATATTTCCACAAATGAGATAGTCTAAAGTATCACAGATACACACAGTATCAAAACTCAATCCATAATAAAGAGGGAAATTCAGCTTTAAATGTTGCTAACCTTCTGACTATGGTCCTACTCAGGTACAGCTCTAACATCCAAAAAGCTGTATCCATGCCTTTCCACTTTACTTTTAACAGGTCACCACTTACAGCTTCCATATGCTATTCATATCATTTATTTGGCCATATGTAGAAAACAGAGTTAACTCCTTTTGGGATCATTGTTCTATTCTACATTACAGGTGGTAACATGCGCTAAAGCTCTTCTTCTGCACAATGATTGTCAAAGTCACATTCCAGCTCTGAAATTCAGAGACCAGTTGGTGTTCTTAAATAAGTAAATATGGTCAGTTGATAGTTTCCAGTTTTACTTCATTAATTTTCACAGCTTTTCATTCCTATCTGTAGACTGGGAGAAAAACTAACTGTATTCCAAAGGTTCGGTCAGACATCATAAGACGCAAACATGCATATTTGGGGTCTATTAGTTGAATTTTTTCTCTCTCTTTGACTATAGCTGACAATAGTATGCTTGATGACAGAGAGGGAATATATCTTTTAGGTTCATCTAAGTAAAACTACATAACCTGTTTTCATTTGCTCATAGCCCTCTCTGTTTTTCATTTATTACCTACATTTTTCCAATTCTGCAGTTGAAACCCGATGAAAGGATCATCAAAACAGAATATGGGCTACTGATTCGAAGTTTGCAGAAGAAGGACTCTGGGATATATTACTGCAAAGCACAGGAGCACACTTTTATCCACACCATAGTGAAGCTGACTTTGAATGTCATTGAGAATGAACAGATGCAAAATACCCAGAGGGCACAGCACGACGAGGGGCAGGTCAAGGATCTGTTGGCTGAGTCACGGTTGAGATACAAAGACTACATCCAAATCCTTAGCAGCCCAAACTTCAGCCTCGACCAGTACTGCGAACAGATGTGGCACAGGGAGAAGCGGAGACAGCGAAATAAGGGCGGCCCAAAGTGGAAGCACATGCAGGAAATGAAGAAGAAACGAAATCGAAGACATCACAGAAACCTGGATGAGCTTCCTGGAGCTGTGGCCACGTAGTTTTCTATTTAATTTAAAGAAAGAAGTCTTACCTGCAAAAATACTGTCTTCTGTTTTGTATATCCCTTAAACTGACTCAAAAGAGCTTTCCATGAAATTTTGCTAAGGCACAAGAACAAAATCTAAATAAGATTATCTGTGGTGAATATGGCATAGTAAGGGCAAATAATTCATCTGAACCAGTTTTCCATGAACTAAACTTGTACCTGCGAAGTATCAGAATTATCCTCAAAACAGGGGTTTTAAATTTGTAAATGTTTTTATGTTCTTCTGAGTTTTTGAATTTGTCATGTAAATAATTGAGCTAAGCAGGCATCAAATTTGATATTGTAGTAAGGTGCTTTATTTCCCTTTCATGGCCATTAAGCATGGGGCTTACCATGGAGTTGTGCTATATGTTCTTATGAACAGATATATGATTCCCCTCTAGAACTGGCTGCCTTGTGGTAGAAACTGGAGGGAAGACACAAATTCATACAGCTCACATAATCAACAGAAACTTTCCCAGTGAGCCATTCACTTTTGGTGCATGGATTGGGAATCTGGAGAGGTGCATTATTTCTTCAGCCCCCAAAGCTTCCATTTAATGCACTGCAGCATTGATTTACTGAAGGGTATAAATGCTCCTCCCAGGATTCCTTATGACTTGTCAGGAGTAACAGGTTCATAGAGAGAAGTTGGTGCTCAGTTATGTGTTTTTAGAATATATTCTGAGCTTTACAGAGACAGAGGTTTAATAAATATTTTAATAAGACATGGGAAAACATTTTAATAAAATAAGGGAAACATCGTGATGTATACTGCATCCTAATGGGAAGGCATGCAGATGGGACTTGTTAAGAGACAGCAGGAAAGACAGCCATAAATTCTGGCTTTGGGGAAAACTCATATCACCACAGAAAGGAAGAACAATCACAAATAAAGTGGGAGAAATGTAATGTAGCTTTATTCACTGGAGTATAAGTAGTGGTCAATTTGCAATCCATCTGTTAAAAAAAATCTAGATTGTAGTAAACTGCTAGCAAAAGTCTGAGGAAAAGTAAATTTTCTAAAGGATCATGGGAAGAATGAACACAAATTTTATTCACAACCAATGTGATTTTAGTATATATTTCTTTTTTCTAAAAATAAATCATACTCTGTAAGTTATTTCCATTTACTGCCTTTATTCTTTCCTGAATATTGGATTATTGGATTTTATCTGAGTGAGTAGGAAAAAACTATATATATATAGGGAGATGATAGAATTAGGTAGACAGCAGTGGTGGGGATTGGGGATATATATTTGTTGAATAACAGAACAAATGCAAGAATTTTAACAACGGAAAGGGTTAAATTAACTCTTTGACATTGTCACATAATCTTTTTGCATTTCTGAGATTATATGCTGTAATTCAAGTAGCATTGTTTTAGTAATTTAATCATAAATAAGCCTATTGCATGTAAAGAAAAACTCACAACATTGACATAAACATTTTTCATATTTCAGTAGCACTTTCAAATGTTTCCAAATTACTTCCCCTCTGAATATGTTTGGTATGTTTCCTGCCTGTTTAAGCAGGACTCACCTTTCCTTTATAGAACACAAAACCCTTAGCCTTCTTCTGTTTTGCCTTTTCATGCCCTTTTTAGTGTGAAATGAAAAATTAGTCACTTCCTCACATGGAAGGCAGCGTTTCAAAAAACTAAACAGACATTGCTCGTTTCTCATGCCTTCTACATGTCTTGAAAGAAAAACCTATGAGAACCCGTGTGATTAGAGGGCAACTTATTACAGAGCTCAGTATCATGTTTGTGACTGGCTTTGTTCAAAACGTTTTCTCTCTCACATGTTCATTTTATTTGCATCGCTTACCTATCTCAAGGTAGCCACACTGATCTATGAGGTTAAGTAGCCCTTTTGAAATGATACTCATAAATATTTGTAGATGTTTCACTATAAGGAAAATTTAAGAAATGTAGGTTTTAAAAAAAGTGAACCAGAATAAGTCATTCTTAAAAAGTAATGCATAAGAAGAGCAGCAAGATCAGACTGCTGACTGAATATCATAACAAGAGTGTTTATAATTATTGATTTTCTGGGTTAAAGTGTCCCAAGAACTCACAGGAAGCTCAAAGCAAATATGTGGGAGAAGATTTAATTTTTTAAAAACTTCCAAATATTTGTATATCAGACGGTAATGATCAAATTGTCGATGGCTTTGAGAAAATTACATGAAGCTCAAATGTTAGGATTGACTTGTGAAAATAAATTTGGTTTTCATCAAAATATGGATGTCCAAACCATTCTTTAATTACTTCTTTCTGATCCTAGTTATTCAGACCAAATTTGGGGAACCTGTTTTACTTTACAGCTAATATTCTGGCTGCTTTGGATCTAAAACTATTAATTTATGATAATTACTTAAAATATATTTGAAATATTGTTAGGAAAATAAAATGTCATATAATAAAACATATGGTCAAAGATTTATATATATTTATAAAGATAGAGGACATCTAAGCTATAATTAATTTTTTAATCTTTTAATTGCCTTACTTATAGGAACAGTGTGATTATGTTAAATCTAAAGATGAGACACAATATATACTTCATCACCACTGAGGATTTTACCAAGTTTTCTTTGAAATAATGAAAAATAAAATTATAGTTAATAGTTTCAAATACTTTTGCTAAGGAGTCAGCTCTCTTTGGAGAGGTCTTAAAATGTCTGTGTTTATTCTTGGTTTCATATTTTTCTCTCCTGTTTTGAATACATATATCTTTGACTTGCATATTCTCGCCTGCATTTCATTCCAGCTATTTATGCTGCTAAGTGGAATCCTGCATGTTTGCATTCATTTACATTAAATTTATTGGGAATTTTCAGAGTTTGTTTAGAAATGGATAGTCTAAGTAATTAATTTATGTAGAACTTTTTTTCCTTAAAGAGCTCAAAACACTACATTCGTATTATTGAATAAACATTTTTGAAAACAACCAAATTACTTAAGAGATGGAAAAATAGTCATAGAGAAATTTAGATTTTGCAAAAGCCACAACAGTAGTAGAAGAATTATAATTCACACCAAATTTCATCTGTTGGCTAAATAATGCTCATTTACAATATGCTGCCTGCAAAATGCTCTTACTCTTAAATTTTGCCTATGGTCTATACTTTGGTTCTTCATATTCTTTTAAGTTTTGTTCCTGCTGAATTGTATAGACTCAACCAAAAGAATAAGTCTACGGTGGCTAGTGCCTGTTTTTCAACATCAAAATTAAATTTTCAAAGATAATTTGATATCATCCAGATGTCCACAAAATATTAAGTTGAACAAGAACATCAGTTAAACACTGATATTTTAAACTTAAATGCGAGATATATTTCATATATATCATAAGAACAAATGGAAATCAAAACTGAAATATCTTCCCTTTTGAATGTTACATTTGTCTTAGACAACACCATGGAATTTTTAGCCTTATTGGGAATGGATAGTTTAGAAAAAAATAGATATTTGAAATGTTTTTATAGAAAAATTTCTTTTTCTCACAGTATAAGACCCTGATATTAAAGTAATTTAGCTTACATGTGAGGTTAAAAAATAAGATCTAAAATTCCAAGATTTGACAGTGCAAAAGCAGGAACATGCACGTGACTTGTACCTCTCATTTAAATATTTTTTAGTATAAAGTATTTATGGTAAGTTTGAGATAGATGATTTTTTAGGAAGGGCAAAATCTGTCAGTTAATCATGTAATTTGATTTTCGTAAGTGGTTAGCAATCAATTTTGAATTTACAGTTTTGCTATTTTAAAAGAAACGTAGTCTTGTAATCTAAAATAATTGAAAATTGTTAAATGTATATTTTGATTGTATTATAATAAAACACAAACATTAGTGTTTTATATTTATAAACAGAGTGTTGGTTTGTGTGCTAGTTTTGTTTTCAAGCCCGAAACACAGTAGCCGAATTTTACACATAGAATTGCACTGAATCAAATACCAAAGAAAATGCATTCTGATAATTTTCAGTAGATATATTTTGCACTGTAAGTGTGCAATAATTTCCCTTATAAAAGGAAAGAATGTGTCTCCCCCCAATTAATACAATTATGTAGTTAAACTTCATTGCGATTTAAATTTAGACTTTGGTGGACTGAAATGAACATTACTATACAAGTAACTGCTTTTAAGATTTCCAATTAAATCCCATTTTAAAATACTCAGCTATATGTTTAACTGTATAATTTATTAAAGGAGCAAGCTAAAGTTTTTGTTTTTGCTCTCAAAAGACATTTCTTGAATTTCTTTTAGAGAAAATTTGTATTTCTTGCCAGTATGGTACACACATGAAGTATATTTTATATTTACAAATAGATAATATTATAACATCCCCCTAAACCTGGTAATAAAATAATGTGTAGAGATTTTATGTAGAGAAATGTTAAGTTTTTTGAGTGCTCTAACAAGCCTCAAACATAAGAGTTTACAGTAATGTATAATCTTTAAGAGAAAAAATAATTTAACATAGGTCACTCTTAGGTCCTAGATCATGTTCAAGCTGTTACTGTAAACAAAATACAACACAAGGTTAATAATTGAGAAAATTCTAGTTGTATTTGTTTGAATATAGAAAAACACGCAAGTGATTCTCAAGACAAAAGAAACAAGAGTTTAGCGTTAAAGTTGAAAATCAAAAGCATTGATAACCACCCAACTTGTTCTCTGCACTAACGAAGCTTACTAGTCCAGGAAACTCCTGTCTATGATGATGAAGCTGCAAATAACTTTATTGTTTGTTTCAGAAACTCATATACCTTTCCTTTGTGTATATATTAGTATAAACACACATCTTGGAAAGTGATTTGGCAATATGTAATGAAGTTTAAAATGCACGTACTCCAAGAAACAGCTTTTCACAATTAAGTATCTACCCTATAGAACCTGCTCCATATGTGTAATAACAGACATTTTCAAAAATATTTATTGTCGGGTTAATTATAACAGAAAAAGAGCACAATCTATATGTTCTACAAAAGGAGAGTGGATAAGCTGAAATATAGTCACTAAATGGATAAAAGTTTAAATAATAAAAAGCTATGCATCAACATAGAAAATCTCAGAAACATAACGTTAAAGGAATAAAATCAAGGAATGTAGGAATGCAAACAGAGTTATACAGTATATATCAAGTTTAAAGAAGCAAATGATACTGCATATGGATACATACATTCATATGTAAGTAGTAAATATATGAAAAACATTTCTGGAAAAGCTAAGCGCCAAATTCAAAATAGACTTTCCTCTAAGAACAGAATGAGGACACGGGGATTTACAACTGTTTCAATAATGTTTCATTTCTTCAAAAAACATGTCTAAACCCAATATTATATTTATATTATATTACACATATTGGTAGGAATTAGTAGTCTTAAATGTTAATATTTGGCAAAGTTGGGCATTGGATTACAATTTAAATATATTACTGTCAACATAATTCTGTGTGCTTGAAATATTTGATAATAAAAAAGTAGATTAAAGATCTAAATCTCAATAAAAGAACAAATTACTCAATAGTAAATTCTAAAGAGAGAGAGAAAGAAAAAGGGAAAGACAGAAAAGAATAACAGAAATATTAGCTATTCAGCCATCTTAACGGAAGCAGCCTTCCACTTCTAGTTACTCCTACATTATGGACTTTCTTGGACACCCTGATTATTTTTAAAATGTGACAGCTAGGACCTTGTTTGGCCTCAGGGACTAGGGATAATGTCTGGTTTTCAAACAACACCTTATTGTTATGGAAATGCCTAAGGCATCTAGGATATCGAACTATGTGCTTAATATGCCAAAAGACTCCAAACAGCTGAGTTGGCCTTTCTTGGAGTGAACACTGTTCAAGGTTGATACTTAAAATATGGGGTTTCTTCTTTCTGACTTACATATCAAAACCAACTCATGCTCTTTAGGTAACCTGGAGAGGGAAGAGAAACGTTTATATCTCCCAAAATGTCTTTAAATGATCCCACAAATCATTCTTTTCTGTAGGAAAGATTGTATATCAATGTAATGCACACTTTTAATGTACTCTGATGTTTTGTTCATGTGTGGAGATAGGCCAAAATTTAGCTCAACATTTTTGCCCTTTATAAATTCTCAATTTTATTGGGTCCTATTAGTGAGGGGCTAGTAAATTTAAATATGTGTTGTAGGAGTATAAGGGAGTATATTCAGAGAGTATTAATTTAAAGTACATAAACTTGAATAAGAAGAAAATGAAATCAGTTATCATTTGGAATCAGGAAAAGGGCTGTTTAAAGGGCCATATCCCTCTAAGCTTTTAATACATTGAAACAAATTCCTATTGGGTAATTATCTCCAATTACTGAATTTTATAATTGTAGCTCTTCCTACAGGTCATTTTTACTGCTGAAAAACAAACAAACAAAAACTTAGAATCTCCTGTGGTAATTTGTGTTGTTGTAGTTCGTTTTTCATCAACTTTTAGGAGTAGTCTTAGGTTCAGTGACCACAGGCAAATTTAAGAGTGAGAACTGCCACACTTATTCATATGTGGAAATCAAAGAAAGCTGCATGAGAAAGCAAGGGTCTGATTATTAGGAATTTTATAATTCAGACTAGAGATTTAATCCTACAGACAGGGGGAGACATTTTGGAGAGGGAAGAGAAACATTTTGGGACATTTTGGTATTTTCAAGCAGGGAAATGACTTAATGAGATTTTCATTAAATTTGCATATGAGTAATAAACATAAAGTGAAATAAAACCTCTTGATTTCCATGTTTTTTAACTGGGTTAATGACAGTTAAAAAAAGAGTAAGTACAGTGGGGAAAAAAGGTTAAGGTGGGGAAGAACATGGTTTCAGCATTGAACACTGAGTCTGAGGTGATTTGAGGAGTGCCTGGGTTTGGTGCTCAGGAGAAATGAAAGCTAGAATGACTTTGTGGTTGCTGGAAGCAATGTAGAAGGGAACGCAGTGAAACTAAGAAAAACTGGGAGGTCAACTTGGAGCCTAAATAAGTGTGTATCCCGGTATAAGTTATCATTACTTTCTCTGTACCACAATGAGATGTCTCTAAGGTACCAAACAGCTTAAAAATTTGAATTTTCCTTACTTCTTCCACCAGAAACTAAATTTCTTGAGGACAAAATCTCTATCCTAATATCGAGTGAAATTTCTGGTAACTAAAAAATACAGTTAAATCTGTACTGCAAAACAACAAAAGAGTTTCCCTCAAAACTATTATAATTCATCATTTAAGGAATTAGAAAAAATTCCACCAAATGGAAGCATTTTCTAAAATTCCTACCCCATGTGCTTCTTTTTAAATCAAATTGGTAAATTGATGAAGGTCTATCCTCATTTTGAATGTTCGTCTGTTTTAAACAAAACAATTACAGACTGGTGGTGTTGGTTTTTTCCTTTGATTCAGGTGGACACAGTGCCGTGAACTACAAGGTTTAAACTGGTAGAAAGAAGGTCCACATAATTTTTAATGGATGATTTGTTTAAGCACAAGGACTTTGAAGAGGTCTTTGAAGAAAACTTTAAAGATTTAAAGACACAGCACAGTAAAGAATAGATAGATGACAGATATTCTTTGGATAAAAATATTTTGAGTTATTTTATTTTTGACCTAGTATTTCCTGGTTCAGTTTTCATTGAAGAGCACATGAGTCTTAAATGGATCGTCTTAGAAAAACATCCTACTAGTCCTTCAAAGTCCAGTGTTAAATGAGGGCAAGCAAAAGTTGTAATACTAAATCTTTATCCATTTTCATCCTCTGTATATTGTCTCAAAAGTGTAGTTGAATTAGGCATATTGGTTACATTTACACGTTTTATCTCTTAAATAGCAA